TTTTCTGAACCCTTTCCAAGGCCAAATATCTTTTTTGAGGGGAGGAGCCCACATCTGTACACAGTATTCAAGATGTGGGTGTACCATAGTTGCTGTGATTACCTGAGTCATCCTTATGGCCCTCTCCTTGCTGTGTCTTTTGCTAGACCCTGAGGCCTATTTCCTTGCCTCCTCCCTTCCCCGTGCCGCGAGGGGCTCCTAAGGAACGGCTGGCTGCTGTCGTCTGGAAGGGATGCTCTTATCTGACTGCCAATTTCAACTCCTAAGGGATAGGGTTTGTTTGCCATCTGCGCCCTCAAAGGGGGAATCGCAGGGGGCGTTATCTTGCTGGTCACATTGTCGTCTGGAAGAGCAACAGGAGCTATCGGGAGTTGTATCTCATGGCAGACACAGGCAGGGTGCAGAGGGGCTCAGAAGACCTTGGAAGACCTGAGTTCCCAGCATGGATCCACTCCTGGCTTCTGGTGGGGCTTCAGGCAAGGCATGGACATGCTCCGTGCCTCAGTTTCCCCATCGGTAAGGCTGGAATAATAAACGGAGATGCCCCCCTCCGTTTTCCCTGTACACATTCACTGGCTGTTACCTACATCTGTATGGCCTGCGGGAAGGGAAGGGGTGTCTATTATACATCCTTCCTGCTGCATCTTCTCAGCTCATGGGAGGAATCTCTGTAAGTAACATGGCTAGTGCTTTTTTTGTGATGGTACTACCCAGTATGCAGTACCGGCACCTCCAGACGCAGTACCAGCACCTCCAGACGCAGTACCAGCACCTCCAGACGCAGTACCAGCACCTCCAGACGCAGTACCAGCACCTCCAGACGCAGTACCAGCACCTCCAGACGCAGTACCAGCACCTCCAGACGCAGTACCAGCACCTCCAGACGCAGTACCAGCACCTCCAGACGCAGTACCAGCACCTCCAGACGCAGTACCAGCACCTCCAGACGCAGTACCAGCACCTCCAGACGCAGTACCAGCACCTCCAGACGCAGTACCAGCACCTCCAGACGCAGTACCAGCACCTCCAGACGCAGTACCAGCACCTCCAGACGCAGTACCAGCACCTCCAGACGCAGTACCAGCACCTCCAGACGCAGTACCAGCACCTCCAGACGCAGTACCAGCACCTCCAGACGCAGTACCAGCACCTCCAGACGCAGTACCAGCACCTCCAGACGCAGTACCAGCACCTCCAGACGCAGTACCAGCACCTCCAGACGCAGTACCAGCACCTCCAGACGCAGTACCAGCACCTCCAGACGCAGTACCGGCACCTCCACTCAGAGCTTACCTGGAAAGAATGGAGCATACTGGCACCTCTGTACGCAAATGTCCGACAGTCCGCAGGGCCGCGTGTCTTAAACGGGCCGCGTCTCTTAAAAGGTCAATGCCGGCCCCACCCTGGCTTTTTTTTTTTCCCCCAACAACTTTTCCCCTGGAGTACCAGCACTTTTTTTTTTTATACAAAAAAAAGCACTGAACATGGCTGAGGTCAAATCCTCTTCTCTCACAGAGCCATGGCTGTGTTGTGGGCCTCTGGGTTTGCCTGAGACATCGGCTGGGTTATGTTCACACTGGAGGCCTCCAGAGGGTGCCCTGTTGAGGCTGGGGCAGAAAAGCCGCTCAGCCAGTCGCTGGCTTCTCAGTTCCCTTCAGAGCCACCTAAAAAAATATCAGACTGGGCTGCCGTGTCCGTCAGCTGGTGACACACTTGCTCGTGCTGAACTATGAAGCAGCAGGGGCCATGCAGGGCGATATATGGATGCTCTTGCTCTTATCTCCTCTCTCCCGGGGGAGCAAGGGTGCCGCGAGGGCTCTGTGCGGGGGACACACTCCACGGAGGGACGCGGGGCTCTGTAAATCACAGCTTCCTGTGATTTATACCCAGGCTCACAGGTTAGGTAACTGCAGTAAACAGAATAAACAGAACTCGGGATGGATTTATGGACCAAGCCAAGGACCTTTAACCACACTTTATAACCCTTTTTCGGTTGGTTTGCCGTCCCTTCCCCACCCCCGCCGCCCAGCAGCGGATGGCTTAACTACATCGAGCACAGGGGCTAGCAACCCTTTCAAACCGCAGAGCCAAATGACATCAACACTCAGAACCAGTGGTGGACAGAGAGCCGGATAAGAACGCCCATTTGCATGGCTGAAAAGATACAACTTCGTAGTATTGACATGATGACTAATAACAGCATCAATGAAACATTGTACTCGCAGACTTTATTGAATGGGACTTCTGCTGCTGCCTCTTTGCACATTTCTTGGAAGTTTACATCGTCACTGGTCAAATCCAGCTTCAAGCGTGCGTTCAGGCTGTCTTCTGTCAGTCTCATGGCAGGGGGTTGGTGTTGGGAGGGTGTAGGATTTTGTGTTGGAGTGTATGAGGGGCTCAGGGCAGAGGACTGGGGGGGTGTAGGAAGTGCAGGAGGCAGGGCAGGGCGCTAGGGCTGGGAAGTAGAATATGGCTACGTCTACACAGCTTCCCTCTTCCACAAAAGCCTATGCAAATGAAGCACGGATTAGCATATTGCTGTGCTGCATTTGCATCATTAATTAGGAGCCATTTTTGCGCCAGAGGTTTTTGCGCAAGAGCCGGTTTTCCTCATTTTTTCAGGAGGAATGGCTCTTGCGCAAGAGGGGGTGTTGCGCAGAACGGCACTGAGTACACAGCTGCCCTGTTATCTGTGTGATCCGAGTACGAGGGCTCACCAGTCTCCTCTCAGCTGCCTGCTCACGCACACGCCTCCCCAAGGAACCAGAGAGCCGCGCTCATGGGATGACTGCTCAGGAACCCTTTCGGGAAGGCTGACTTAATTGCTAACATGCAGGCAACGATGCAAGGCGAGGGCGAGGCATGATACGGAGAGGGGACACTCACATTTCACTAGCCACCATGGTGAGCAGCCCAACGGCTCTGAAGGCGTCTGGAAACAAGGGCAGCTGCCTTTGACTTCGTCAGAACGCAGACTGGCCTTATGGATGGAGAAGTGTGTCCGGATCCATTCATAACTCCCTCTGAGGCTGGAACTGGAGCACGCTTGCTGTCAGAAGAGCATGGAGCCCCACAGAGAATGTGAGACCAACTGACCGACGTACGCCAGGTTTCTGCCATGAAAAAGAGAGAAGATGTCAAGCATGGTTTGAAATAATTGCTAATTGTTGTTAGGAATCATTAAGAAAGGGATAGAGAATAAGACAGAAAATATCTTATTGCCTCTCTGTAAATCCATGGTACACCCACATCTTTAATACTGTGTGCAGATGTGGTCATCTCAACTCAAAAAAGACCTCTTGGCACTGGAAAAAGTTCAGAAAAAGGGCAACAAAAGTGATTAGGGGTTTGGAATGGAGAGATTAATAAGACCAGGACTTTTCAGCTTGGAAAAGAGATGACTAAGGAGGGCTATGGTAATGGTCTATGAAATCATGACAGGTATGGAAAAAGTGAATAAAGAAGAGTTATTTACTCCTTCCCGTAAGATAAGAACGAGGGTCATCAAATGAAATTAATAGGCATCAGGTTTAAAACAAACAAAAGGAAGTACGAGGCAGAATAGCTATTCTGGGGTTCCGGAAGTATTCCGAAATAGCACCACAGTGTAGATGTACCCTAAGCCAAGTCTTTAACGTGAGTGTCCAAAGGATAGCGAGCGCAGAAATGCAAGAGCAGAAGCCATGCGGTAGGCGTTGGAAAAATGGGCCTTTCACACAATAGCGTGTGCGCATTTACACGCATTCGCCATTCAGAGAAAAGACAGTTGCTCAAAGTATGATCCTGGAATCCAACATTACTAAATCCTCCCACTTTATTCAAAGGGGAGGAAGCATCCAAGAAGGATCTGCCTTCCTTCGGTCTGGCACAAACTGTATTTAAAGCTAGATCCTACATCTGAAACAGAACCAAATCAACTCACAAATTGTTCCATGTCCAGGCAGACGGCCACAAACTCAGTTTAATACATGTTGAAATGGCCCTTTCCTCCTGTCTGGGGGAGGCACGATGCGGTTACTGAATTACAAGCACAGCCTCTGTTTAAGAAACCTTTATAAGAAGGCTGGCGTGGAAACGCAGCCAGTGTTTTCCGTGGCTGGCTGAGGTGCTGCAATTAGCAGGGTGCTCGGGTGTCGGCAAGGGCTGGTTGGCGTGGCTTTGGAGGAACAGAGACATGGCCAGAGTAACCCATAAACGCTGGTTTGATTGGCGGGGTCACAGCGGCACGCTAAGGAGACAGCAACCAGACCCCTCCAGCAAGTTCAAGATTCTGAGATGCTTTTTCACATGGGAAGCAGCTGGGAGCAGAGGCCATGAGCTCTCCACAGTGCCGGCTGGCAAGAAGGGACAAACGGCAAAGGGGAAAGGGTGAGGAGGAAGAGTATAATACTTGCTCTTGGAATAGCCTTCAGGATGCATTGTCTATGGCCTGCTCCTTCCTTGGGATTCCGGCATCAGTGGCCGCGGAGAAGAATTGCTGCCCAGTTTGGCAGACTAGGCTTGCGTTGACGGGGCTTACCCCTACTCGTCTACCCTTGGGGGCAGCTGCCGCAGTCACTGGCCGCCGGTGGCTACGTGCAAATGCCAAGTCCAGACAAGGTCATTGGCATCGGCACTCAGCAGGAGTTGGGGCACTGTCGCACTGCTACATAAACGACCCTCCTGACAGCCCTTTCTGGTCTGCTTGCTGCTCACCCAGGCGGTTTAAGAAGTTCTCCTTGCCCGCTACCACCATCCTCACCTCCTGGCATCCCAGCCTTGTGCCCAGACCGTCCACACACACTGCTGGCAAGACAGCGCCAGGCACTGCTCCGCAGGCACAAAAGGGTTAAAGATCAGCTGAAGCCACATGGAAACCAATCAGCATCCAGGGGTCACATCCGCGGCGGGTACCAATCTGCGTTTGCTCCATGGAATGGGCTACGCCAGTGGATGGCAGCTGGGGGGGCGGTCTGATGGGGGCGG